TGTTCTCGGGAAAAGGGTAGGGGGCGCGGGGGGGGGGGCTGCCTGCACTGCAGCTGCAGTGCTGCTTTATGCAGACTGCAGTCTGCAGGCTGCAGGGGCGGGCAGGGGATGGGCAGGGGCGGGCAGGGGTGGGGAATTTGAAAAAATTTAAATTTTAAAATATAATTTATAAAAAATATAAATATAAATTATATAAAATATAAAATATAAAAAAATTAATATATATTAAATAAACCGGACCGGAACCGGAATGAACCGGGATGAACCGGTACCGGTACACCGGTACAAAACTACGGTTCCGTCCCGTTCCGTATACCGGTTTAGAATATCCCGGCCCGTCCCGTAGGCAACCGAAACGGGACGAACCGGAACGGTACCGGTACGTCCCGTTCCGTTGCCCAGTCTTACCTTTGTCCTTACTCAGTTTACAATCATTCAAAGGCACTCGTCTTTGCTGTTGTAACCGCTAACTTAGTCTCCATCTTTGCTGCCTTATAAATTTTCTTATTTGTCTGCTTGTCCTCCTCATCCTTGCATTCTTCCACCAACTTTGCATAAACTAGCTTCTTTGCTTCCACTTGCCTTGAACTTCTCCGTTCCACCACCAATCCCCTCGGTAACTGCCAATATTACCCCTCGAGACCCGTAGCTGCCTCTCTAGCTGTTTTTCTAATGCAACTAGTTGTCTTATACACATGCTTTCCACATTCGCAATACTTTTCCAAGCCCCCATGACCATCAACTTCTCATCCATATTCCGAGAGAGAGCAAGGCTCAAGCCACACTATTTAATTCTTGGTTAGTCATGAATTCTTCTGCCTCTACCCTCGCTCAATCTCCAAGTCCATCAGCCAAAACTTATGTTGGGGAATTCTCACTCAGGATAACCTTGCATTCCTTACAAAGGCCTATATTGCCTTCCCTCAAGAAAAAGTAATATGTCAGAGTTTTAGCCACCACGCAATGGAAGGTAACCAAGTCGTCTTCCTTCTTCGGAAAACACTAGTTAGCTATCAGCAACTCAAAAGCTCTATTATAATCCATGAGCAAAGTTCCACCTCCATTTCTATTTCCAAAACCAAAGCCTCCATGCACATCGTCGAATCCATAGGAAGTTGCCTCAATGTCGCCATTTGAAATCTACACCAATAAAAATCTCTTAGGTGTGTAGTATACCCCTCACCACCTCATCCAAGTCCTCCCAAAAGTGCTTCTTGACCTCCTCGTGCAAACGTACTTGTGGCGCGTAAAAGCACTAATAATGTTCAAAGTAAGTCCTTCAACAACTAGTTTAATTGTCATCATCTCATCATTGATCTTCCTAACTTCCACCACTTGCTCCCTATGGTCTCCGTCTAAGAAAATGCCTACTTCATTCCTATCCATTGAGCCTCCCAAGTACCACAACTTAAAACTTTTCACATCCCAAGCCTTAGTATGTACTGATTTGTCCCCTGAACACACTATATTAATCTTCCTCTTTTTTAGAATCTTCACTGTCTTTATGGACTTCCCCGTCAAAGACCCTATATTCCAAGACCTTACGCTCAGCCTAGGGGAACCTACCACTCGAAACCCCTCGCCCTTGACCTAAGACATGTCCCTAGTCTATCATCTTTTACCAAAGCCACCAAAGAAGGTGTAAAATACAAAGGCAAACACTAAGGAAAGCTAATTCAAACTTGTGAAAGATAGCAGGCAATAAGTCTGAACTATACTGTAAATCAGAAGCAAGCAAGTAATCAATGAATTGAACTAGACTGCAGAACAGAAACAACCCGCACTATGCTGTAAATCAAAAGAACAGAAAAAAAGAACCACATTACCACAACACGAAGTATGCTGCAGGAGAAGAAAATAAGGATCACAGCAGTTATTGAAATGACAGTTCTGAAAAAGGAATTTAAACCAGAGGTAATACCTCCTAATCCATACCCTTGAATCTTAAAATTTAGATTTTGCAGAATATGGCTCTCGGATTCGCATCCACGTCGGATACCCATACCTGAGTCCGAGCAACTTAGATTATTAGTGGACTAATTTAGTTGGAGTAGTTCTTTGTTTATCATACATATGTTACCTGCTCAAAAAAGTGAAAAACTATACATGTTAAACTGTCTAAGTCTTCTTCAAAATACCATGCTGACATATTACAACAGCATTGTCCTATCTCTTTGTAACTGTCTTCAAGTGTGCTTCAGTTTCAAAAAATGTTTTACCTCGAAGCAACTAAAGATTAACTGGTGTAGGCTGCACTGAAAGATGCAAAACAAGCAAAGAATGGGATAGATGCGGAACTTGCAAGTCTCCACTCTAATGTTCAGGTAAACATCATCACTATGTGCTACAGCAATGTCTGGTTTTCTATCTAACTTTTTTTTCTACATTTGACATAGAAAGCAAAAGATGAAGCAGCTGCTGCTGTAGATCAACTTCAGGGGTCTGAATCTGAGGTTAAAGCTCTACGCTCTATGACACAAAGGATGATTTTAACCCAGAATGAGATGGTATCTAGCTGCACCTTCTGATGCTGCTTTCTTCATTTGCAAAATTTTTCATCATAGAAATAAATTCCGCGCATTCGATATTGTAGGAAGATGTTGTTCTGAAACGATGCTGGCTTGCACGATATTGGGGTTTAGCAACTCAGTTTGGTAAGTAATGAATCAGAGTTTTGTCTTTTTCCTAGTCACACACATGATCTCTATTCTTTGTTTTGAGAAGGAACATAATCTCTGTTCTTTGTTTTTGAGAAGAAACATGATCTCTATTCTTTTCTGAATCAGAAAATCTCTTTTCTTGATTTCTATTCTTTTCTTTTTCCTTTAATGGTTCATCATGAATTTTTGGTTTCCTGTATACTGCTGCTGGTCACACTGACCTTTTTCATTAGCTATAGATTTGAAATAGTTTTATGCTGTCACCCAAGTTATGTCAATTTAACTGTTGTGTTTGATTTTTTGATTGTTTTATCAAATGAAGTACCTTGAAACCCTTCCATCACGCGCACCCATAAGAAAAAAGGAAAATAGACAAAAGGGCACATAAGATAGTGAATCAAGATAGAAGAATGAAACATTGCAATTGCACATTTGAAAGATAGCTAGATTGAAAGCAGGTGCCTTTGCTCCTATAGTGTTACAAAGAAGGAACTTATAGTAGTGGCACTAACTTCACCTAGAAAACTTACAACAACAACATCATAACCAGCGAAATCCCACAAGTGGGGTCTTGAGAGATCACTGTGTACATAACCTTACCCTACCAAGGTAGAGATGTTGTTTCTGGTAGATCCTTGGCTTAGGCAAACTATGATTACATGCAAATTAACTATGATTACATTGTTTTACAACTATACAGAAGGAGATTAACTTTTCATAACGGATTGCATCAATTAAATGCATCCAAGGGTGTGGCTTACTGGTCAATGAAGTGTATTGAAAACCATGAGGTCTCCGGTTCAAATCCTCACAGAGTCCTAGGCAAAAACACTAGGTGATTTCTTTTAATTTATCCAACCCATGGCAGTGGAGTTACCTGGGTGTTTGTGCTGGTGGGAGGTACCTTGTGGAATTAGTCGAGGTGCGCGCAAGGTGGCCTAGACACCACATTTATCAAAAGAAATAAAATTTAAATACCCTCCTTTCCCAATTTTTATGACACTCATTTCTAAGAGAATGACATCTTTCTATATTTAGTAATAATTTGATGTTAAACTTCTCATTTTATTCTTAATAAGGTGACTTATAGCCACACAAGTATGCTAATTTGAGACCACAAGTTTTAAAAGTCTTCTTGTCAATCTTAAACTCTGTGCCTCGTCAAATACCATCATATAAATTGGGCGGAGAAGATTTTTTCACAATTTCCAGTGCATGAATGTTGCCTACTTTTCCTTACTTGTCTAATTGCATTCTTATCCACCCAGTGCTTTACTTTTTGTTAAGTTTTGACCCCATGTGTCCCTATACTCTTGTTTCATTGCTTTAGATATGTAAGAAATGTTACTGGTTTGAACTCAGTTTAAGTCAATGTTGCTCTGCTTTTCCCTTCAGGCATTTGTGCAGATATTGCTGCTTCAAAACACGAGTACTGGTCATCCTTCGCACCTCTTCCTTTTGAATTGGTCATCTCTGCTGGCCAAAAGGCAAAGGAAGAATGTTTGGAAAAAGGCAAGCATGATTTATTTATGGGTTTTCTATTTGATTTTGTGGATTTCCAAGCTATGGGTTTATCACATGGTAAATATTTTGAATGGGCATAATCAATATTCTCTCTTGCAGGTGATGACAATCCAGAGATGGGAAAGTTTGTTCAGGATTTGAATGATCTCACTGGAGAAGGGAATATAGAAAGCATGCTTTCTGTTGAAATGGGCTTGAATGAACTTGTTTCTTTGAAGGTTACTCTAATAACTATAGTCATTATGTTGTTCTTGTTCTTGTATTTTCTTTAGTTCCTTGAATTAGGTAGAACATGCATCGCTTAACCTGTTTCTGAACTTGAGCTTTTAAGTACTTCTCATGTTGTTTATTACGAAAGTTATTAATTCTGTTATCATTAGCATCACAAATCATTTTTCTTTGTTTTTTTGAGATAAACAAATCATGATTCTTTGTTCAAATTAAAGATTCCAATGCTCATTCATTTCTTCACCAAGCCACTCATCAATCTAAGTGTTAAAATTTCCACATTGCAGTTTAAAAAGAATATGATCAGTTTAGTTAGGAATTTGTTATGCCTAAAGCTGATCTTAGACAAAACTTTGGTAAAATAAGAAAGGACCTACTGAATATGTATCATAATGGTTATTACAGAAAGTGAAAATAATTGGTTTTTGCTTGAGAAAATAATTATGATACTTATGGTGTTCAGCCGAGGGATTGGGCACAGGCCAATATCAGGCCAGTCTTCGGATTTGGAACACCAAGTTCATATTGAAAGGATGAAATCTACTACTTTAATCCATTCTTGTCCTATTTTGCTCTAGAATAGTTTTGGGTGCAAATAATCTCTTGCATGTAAAGTTGCCCATTTCAAAAGAATATATAAAATCTCTTGCATGTGCACCAGGGTATTCTTTTGTTCTCCTTTTAGTTGGAAGAATAGGGAACTACTTTACCATTTACTGATATTCCTGATCCAGGTTGAGGATGCCATAGTGCTTGCACTGGCTCAACAACGGCGTCCAAACTCTGCTCGAACATCGATTTCAGGTTTGTCTCTTGTTTGTTGTTTAAATATTGTTAGTTAACTACTAGTATGTTCATATGTTTGTTTTTTGATCTCCAAGCCATAAACCCTACTTGCAAAAAAATGTATATGTTATTACATGCTCTGTTCAGCAGTCATTGTTTGCTTAGTTATATATCTTCCAATGAAATGATAGTCGTTATAGACTCAAAGCTAAGGTCAAGGATTGTGGTTTGATGCTTGAAAGTGTTCTACCTCATAAACCAAGGGTGTAGCCTAGTGGTCAATGAAGTGGGTGTAAACCTTGGAAGTCAGTGTTCGAATCCCAAACTCCCAATAGAGACAAAAATACACTAGGCGATATCTTCTCATCTGTCTAAGTCTTGGTGGGAAGAGTTACTTTATACCTGTGCTGGCAGGAGATAGCAGGTACCAGACAGTGAAGTTGAGCATTAGTTGGTCTGCACACCACCACTTTGATAAAACAGATGTTCTGCCTCATAAGTCTGAATATAAAATTCAAGGCTGCTTATACCTGTACCATAATATAGATACCTACCTGTACTGTTATGTGCTTTCGAAATATTGACATCTATATTGTGGGAAACAAATGTTCCAGTCTGTTATGTAATGCAAAAACAAACTTACAGTTTTACATGTAATTTTTTCCATTTTTGGATGGTAACATATAAAATGGTGATTGGCCACCTCCATGTTCTCACGGTAACATTGAGAATAAATTAAGGTCTCCACTTAATAACCATCATTTTGAAAGGCAAAGTTAGGAATCTCTGAGATTCACCTCATGGCTCGTCTTACATAAAGCAGACCGTAAATTCCTTGGAACGATCACAAGGACAAAAGTCTCATGTAATTAATAACCCCAATAGATTGAGGGTTGCATCTTTCATGTTTTGGGTTGTTAGCACGATACACCATAGCACATTGCATCTTAAATTTCTTTGAAGTATTTGACTTTCTTTTTCTCTCCATAATATATTGCTTGGTCACTCTTCTTGAAATGTACACATGTTATTACACCAAGATATTTGAATTAACTTCGTCAATTTTTGTAATGTACACATGTTATTACCACCAAGATATTAATGTTTACAACAAATTTTAAAGTGACAGAAAATAAATTGCAATCACAATAAAATATGAAGAAACATAAATTTATTTATAAATAGTGTAGGTACAACTCTATTCCTCCCTTGAATAATCTCTCGTAAAATATTTATCCATGATTACAGAGTCGTTAATGGCGCATTTCTCGAACTAGGATGATTTGAATTTGATCTCCTTTTGAATATTCCATGAATTTGCAGAATATTCGAGATGCTTTTTCAAGGGAATATACTACCCTTAATATAGGCATGAACTAGGGTTTTGGATCGAGTACCTTCCAAGATTCCTAATTGGAATCAAACACATATTGTAGAGTCCTAACTTAAATTTAACACATCTTATAGAGTTCCACAAAATTTCAATGTTTACAAATGCCTCATGCTTCAGGATTTGTCGGATGGTAGACTTGATGAAACTTAAAGACGAGACTTGAAGTACTAATCATTCTTCTACCTTTGCGGCTTCAGATTTGTAGATTTGATCTATGTGAGAACTAAAAAGAGATGAAGGCCAAATTTGGTCCCACTAGACGTGCCAAAATTTGCAGAAAATAAAATTCACATTGAGAAAAGAATCAAAAGTTGTAGAAAATAAAATTCACATTGAAAAAAGCAATAATAAAAATTATCGCAGTAACAATATTTATTGATTCTAAAGGGCGAGTGTTACAATCTCTATTATTCCTTCCATTTGACTTTTCGGATATAAATTCAAGTACTCTTGAGTTTTATTTTGAATTTGTCTTGAACTTGATCTTGGATTTAAGGGCTTTGGAGTTTGTTCTTGAATCTTTGATGAACTTGAACTTTATTTTGATCATGACTTTTATTTGAATTTAAGGGCTTCAAACTTGTTCTTGAATCCATTGGTCTTGATCTTGATCGTTCTTGAAGTTGAATTCTTAAACTTGTAGTTCATAGAGAAATCTATGTCGTTTTATCCACGAGCTTTATCTAACTTCTTGTTTAGAATTTTTGGTTCCTTTTTTGAATTATGAGGACCTAAATTTATAGTTTGTAGAATAGAAGATTTGCGATTGGAACAAGTTCTCTTCATCCAATCAGTTTAAGTGACATGACATATGAGCTTTATGGAGCGGGCTTGTCATTTTGATGGATGACATGATCTTATAGGCTTCTTTGTTTGACTTGCCATGCAATGTGGCACCAAACTGGCCTCGAGGATGAAGTGTTATCAGACTTAACAAACTGGATTCCTCTATTGTAGCCCAAATCAATTAATTTGAATTTTAATTAAATCTAAATTTTTTGGACTTAAATAATTATCCCAATCAAATTAATCTATACTTCATTTTGGACTAAATATTCATTAATTTAATAAAATCCAAATCATTTTATAAATTTATACTCCCTCCGTTTCAAAAAGGATGACCTCGTTTGACTTGGAACGAAGTTTAAGAAAAAAAAGAAGACTTTTTAATCTTGTGGTTCTAAATTAAAGTTATGTCAATTGTACCAAAGTGCCCTTTAATCTTGTGGTTTTAATCATGCCACGTGGAAAGTTAAAGTTAAATTATTACCAAAAAAGGAAAGGGGGCAATCTTTTTGAAACAAACTAAAAAGGAAATAGGGACATTCTTTTTGAAACGGAGGGAGTATTTAATAAATTTTAAATGATTGCAAATGCCCCTGCTTCAAGACCTGTCGAGATATTTTATCTTTTGAAGACTAAGCTTGAAGTATTATCTAGACAAAAATTGGACGACATTAATATTGAGATCCACAATAATTGCACCACTCCAACATAATTGGAGTGAAGAAGAAGATTGTTAGTAATTACTCCATGCGGCCACTTTTCAATTTGAATAAGAAAACTAACATATATGTTTTGTTTTCATTAGGACACATAAATGTTCCTTTTTTTTCCAATTCCAATTAAAAAGGAAACAATTGTAATCCATCTCAATTTCATATTCACATGTTTTTGTACCGCCTTACAGTCCACTTGATTCTATAGAAAATAAACACGATTGGGTACAACATATTCGAAATTTGGATTGAAACTCGTTAAATATCGTTCTGTAGAATCAAATGGATTGTAAGGCGATAGAAAAACATGTGAATATGAAATTGAGATGGATTACAATTGTTTCCTTTCTTAATTGGAATTGAAAAAATAAATAAAAAAGGAACATTTATGTGTCCTAATGGAAACAAAACATATATGTTAGTTTTACTATTCTAATTTTCATTTATGTTGGATGGTGCAATTATTGTGTATCTCAATATTAATGTCGTGCATTTTTTTTCTAGATAATACTTCAAGCCTAGTCTTCAAAAGATAAAATATCTTGACAAGTCTTGAAGCAGGGGGCATTTGTAATCATGTAAATTTTTTTAAATATAAATTATAATATGATTCAGATTATATTAAATTCATGAATATATCAGTTCAAATAAATTATGGATTAATATAAGTTAATCATTTAAGTTTAGAAAATATGGATTTAATTAAAATCTAAATTAATTTTGATTTGAGCTACAATAGATGATACTAGTTTGCTAAGTCAAATGACGTCTCATCCCAGGCCCAGTTTGGTGCCACATGTCGTGCCAAGTCAACAACCAAGCCAATAGAATTATGTCATGTGTCAAATTGACAAGCCGCTTTATAAAGCTCATATGCCATGTCACTTAAATTTGATTGGCCGAAAGAATACCAGTTCCTATCACAACTCCTCTATTCCACACCTATAAATAGAGGTCCTCATAATTTAGAAAAGGGACCGACCGAAAATTTCTAAACAAGAAGTTAGAGAAAGCCCGTGGATCAAACACCTTAGATTTCTCTATAAACTACAAGTTTAAGAATTTAAATTAAAGAACGATCAATCGGATTCAAGAACAAGCTCGAAGCCCTTGAATTTAAATAAAAACCAAGATCAAAATAAAGTTCAAGTTCAAGTTGATTGACGATTCAAGAACAAGCTCCAAAGCCCTTGAATCTACGATCAAGTTCAAGACAAAATTAAGATCAAGCTCAAGAGCCCTTAAATTTACATCCGAAAAGATGAATAATAGAGATTGTAACACTCACACTTTGAAATCAATAAATACGGTTGTTGCAATACTGTTTTGTTTTTTTATTATTGTTTTCTCTGCGTGAATTTTATCATTTACTCCCTCCGTCCCATTTTATGTGACAATATTTGACTGGGTACAAAGTTTAAGAAATAAATGAAGATTTTGAAATGTTTACCAAATTGCCCTTCAAAAGTAGACTCGCTTTTCTCTCCTCATAAATGTATTTGAGTACTATTTTTAAAATTAAGTGGAACTAACAAGGGTAAAAAAGAAACTATACCTTTAAATATTTGCCATATAAGGAAATGTGACATTCTTTTTGGGACTGACCAAAAAGGAAATGGTGCCACATAAAATGGGACGGAGAGAGTATTATTTATTAAATATAATTTTATAGACGTTGAAATTTTATGGGACTCTATAAGACGTGTTCAATTTGAGTTGGACTCTACAAGGTGTGTTCAATTTTAATTGGGATTTTTAGAGGCTACTCAATCCTAAACCTTAGTTCATGCCTATATAAAGGGTACTATATTCCCTTGAAAAGACATCTGAAATATTCCAATAATTCATGAAATATTCATAAACAAATTAAATCTAAATCATCCTAGTTCGTGAAATACGCTACTAACGACCCTTGAATATGGAGGAATCTTTATGACAGAAGAATCAAGGGAGGGACCAAATTGTACCTGCTCTATTTATCAAACAAATTTGGCGCAGTGGGACTCGAATTATGATTGTATTTTATTTTCTATTACTATAAAATTTGTTGCAAACAAATTTGGCACGCCTAATGGGACTCGATTTGAACACGTCTGGTAGAGTCTCACAAAATTTCAATGTCTATAATTACACAGAGATATTTGAGAGAATGAGTTTCATACCTAAACTATCTTTCATACCTAAACTATCCCTCATTAGTTTGAGAAATATACCTTAGTGATGCATGTAATACACTTTTTTTTTTTAAAAAAAGCCTTGCCACATGGCATATCACATGGATAAAACATTTCACCTTGACAAAAATTAAATAAACTATAGAGAAAATACACAAATTTACCTTTGAACTTTTTTTGAAAAGTCAGTTACACGCTTAAACTATGATGATGATCTATTACACACCTTTACTATTTAAAAATGAATTTTTTTACCCCTAAAATTGACGTGGCAAAAATAAAAAAATAATAATAAAATTAAAGCGGGTTTGACAGTAAAGAAAGTAAAAAATAAATTAAAATCTTATTTTTACTATCACCCTACCCTTACCCCCTCACCCAATGCCTCTTCTTCTTTTTTTTTCACAGGCAATCATCTTCTTCTTTACTTTTTTCATCATTATTTCATACCCAATTTCCACCCACCCCACTATACCCCATAAAAATCCTCTCCCCCACCCCCATCATATCCTATTTTAATGCTTATTCGATTTCACCATTTTCATTATATTTGATTTCTCTTTAGATTTGTTGGTGGTTGATAAAATTGATGATTAAGTTTTTTAAAATAAAATATAATGATGGATTTGTTGGCCTGGGGTGACAAAGAAGCCGGACTTGAAGGTGGTGGAGAAGAAAAAATAGATATTGACAATGGTGGTAGTGATATTTGGTGGTGGGTTTGTACCTTTTGATGGTGATGATGTAATTTTGGTGATGAGTTTGTTTATGGGTGTCAAATTTTGTTTTGGATTTTTCTAATTTTTGTGGGGATAATGGTGTTAGTATGATTTCGATGGTGGATTTGATCTTAGGTGGTGGGATTTATGGTGACTATTTTGGTTTTCATTCGTGAAATATATAGATTTGGTAGTAATATGACGGCAATGGTAGTGGTTTCATGGTGGTGTTCATTGAAGAAGAAACAATTGAATGATATGAAGAATTTTAGTCAAAATTTGACATGACATCTGATGTGGCAGTGGCATTGAAATGATGTGGCGCAAGTGTGATACACCTCCCATTGTGAGGGTGGTACTACACGTCTTAAGGGTAAAACAAATCACTCTTTAGTAGCAGGGGTGTGTAATGGGTCACCATATTAGTTTAAGCGTATAATTGACTTTTCGTGACAAGTTCGAGGGTGAATATATATAGCCTTTTCCCTGAACTATTAGTTATATTTAAAAGTTAAAGATTAAAGTTATCACTCTCCCCTAAAAAAAGAAATTGAATTTTTAAAAATAGAATTTAAAACATTTTTCTTTCCCCACCCCACCCCACCCCCACCCCCACCCCATTTATTTTTTGTAATTTCTTTTATAAAACTTTTAAATAAAGTCTTACTTCAACCCAAACCACCCACTCCTTCCAAGAAAATTTAGATATTATTTTTATTTTCTTTCAAAAAAATATTCTACCCTACCCCATCGAACCCTCCGCTCCTTATATATATATATATTTTTCTTGTTTTGTGTTAGATATGTACTGTTTTTAGCAAAGTATTTTTTTCTACTTGCATACTGAATATCATAGAAATGAGAATTTTATTTTATTTTTAAAAAAAACTTGTTGCAAGTAGAACTTTTCCTAGAAAGCCACTGGAAATTGACGTACAGTGATTTGTCTGATTGAGTTTTCTTCCCCTGGATATGGGGTTCATGCATATATCATTGTCCCTACTTTTGTTAACATAATTATTGGCCAGATGGGCGGCAATTATATGTAATAGCCATACGTCGGCAGCGGCAACTCTGTGATTCTCTAGCAAAATTGTGGAGGCTTTGATACCAGTGAGAAATATGGAGAATAACATTATTGAATTGTGTATCTATATTATTGCATTTAGACTCCATTTATAGGCACTACTTTTCCAACTAACATTACATTGCAATCCTTTTCAAGTAGGATTTTTATATACTATTTTTATTCCTATTGTAAATAGGATTGTATATACTATTTTTGTTCCTATTCCTATTCGAACAACCACGGTTGACTTAACATAGATTGACTTATAAGGTTCTTTCTGCTGGAGTGTTGGTCAAAGGACCATTGTCATAGAAGTCAAGTGGAGTTTTACCTTATTTATAAATCCATAACACATCTAAGTTTGCCTGCTTAATAAGAATCTGACTATCTTCAATGTTGTGGCATATGCAAACCTGTCAGCTGATCTTGAATGCAGTTGGCGTTCTCTGTTTATTTATTTATTTTATTAATTGCGTCCATTTGTTCTACAACCCAAAGTCATCTTCTCGTTTAACAATAGGAGTATGATCCTTCTAGATTTATTGTGTTTTATTGTCTGTTGCAGACATCAAATCACCAAGTGATCCGAAGTATATGGAGGCATTTGGTAAGTCCATCTGATCTGTCATCTTTTTGCATTCAGGTTGTTAGATTTCCTTTATCACCATCAAATATATTGTCCCACTCAGACTCCTATTTAACTAGCTGGAAGTTAGGGATGTCAATAGAGTGGATTGGGTGTAAGCCTTACCTATTAAAATTTTGGCCTGCCCTACCCTACCCCGTTTAGCATTTTTAAAAAAATTAACCTGCCTTGCCCCGCCCCATTACAATAACAGTGCAAAACCCCAAACACATCAAGTTATGTGATTTTTTAGCTGTGTCAACCTTCATAAATCTGAGAAATTTGAATATTGTTAACTGCTGGTAGGAATTGGAGGAGTAAACTTGAAATTTTGGTATTTTTTGTGCATGTAGCACACTTATTATTCTGTCACAATTGGAACGTAGACAAATATCAAATCACACCTTAAATTACTACTATTAAATAATCACTAACTTACTAAACAACAAAATTCCAACCAGTACTTAAAGCTGCAGAATCACGGTATTAGGAGCCGAAACGTCCCCAATTCGTTGAGGTTTTTTCAGATTTCTTCACCGATTCTTCTCCTCTAGCTATATCATCCTCCATTTTCAAACCTTGCCCTGTCCTGCCCTAACCCATTAAATTTTTTCTAAAATAATAATTTGCCCTGCCTTGCCCCGCCCCGCCCCGTTTAAAGCTTCTCCTTCCCTACCCTATTAAGGGTGTGCCCTGCCCTCCCCCAATTGCCACCCTTACTGGAAATAAGCAACCAATTTATTGTGTTAAACTTCCTCAGTTTTCTTGCCTATATTTATCCCTTCTTTTTTTTCTTTTTACATTTTGTTAGTTGGATTAAACATGGTAAACAATGAGATACCCATCTAAACTTGTCTATTGAGTGGTTATTGGCTAGGCCCATTGCTTTGCACTTCATGAAAGTCTTAATTTTAATCATTTAAATCTCACTTATCAAGTGCATTTGTTGTTTTAGGTCTGAAACTTAATCATTAAATGCATTTTTTTCTAATGTTTCAACCACATAATGGGTCTAATGGATCTAAATGGATTAAGATTTATAATGAAGTCTTAATATCATCAAAATGTTTATTTAAAGATTTCTACAAAAGTTGTATCTCACCTATTCCATCTATTCACCGCTACCGCCATTGTCCACCTTTAGCAACTAGCCATTAACACTCACCATTATCAACTACGTACCACCCACTCATAGCCACAACCACCATTGCTGACTATCACAAAATAGAATCCTAAGTAAAAAACTCTAAAGAAACGACAAGGGAAAGAAATAATCAAAACATAGAAGCAAGGCACATATGATGATGACTTTCTGGGCAACATTGGATTGGTTAGAAACACTTCCCAATTGAATTCAATCAAAGCACCAATACTATAAATGATTCCACTAACGAAGAAGCTCAATTTGAATCCACAAATGAGCAATCTCAAGTGAAAGTCAAGATAGGAAGTTAAAGATCAACTAAGGAATGAATACTCCACTAGTTAGCTAGACTAGATCTAAAAGTGCCATGCCCCCAGCTTAGACCTTGGGTGGGACGGGCACTCAATTCCGTGCTGTCTTGAGCGTAACCATAACATTATATTAGACATGAGCATACATCTAGACATGAGTGAGAACATAGTTTAAAAGTATTTGAAGAGAAAAGTCTTGTAAAAGAAACACTTCACATATAATGAGTTATAGTATTGAAATGGCTGACAAAGGAAACGAAGGTCCAAACTAGAGCATGATTAAATATCTGTCTATGAAGCCTCTAAATATAACTGAGTAAGGTCTACCGGGACAAGGCCCTCGACATACGTTAAACACATAATCATAAAGTACTAGAAAACTTTAAACTAAGCCCTTGAAAATAGAGAGGGGCTCTTCAATAGCAGAAGATATGGGATCTAGCAAGCGATTTGATCACGTGTCAGTGTACCTGGGTCTGCATCAAATAAAAGATACAACACTCTTGACAGAAGGGACATAAGTACATACGGAATAGATTCTTGTTCCAACAGAAGGATCCAAGAAATGATCAATGAGTTAAAACGATCAAAGCTAGAAGGGACTAGCACAAAATGAGAGTTCGAGTACAAGGAACTAATCAGCAACCAAGTAAGGCCAATTAGTAGTGTTGATTAGCTATAAGGATCAAGGAAATTGATTGAAACTGAAATAAAAGAAACTATGAACGTTAAATTTGAGTTTTGTCAGAGTAGATGAAGTTTTCCATGGGATGAGGCTGTGATGCGGTCTGGCTGGTGCCGCAAGGGGTCGTTACGAGCGCAACCCTCCTCCACAAACTCCACACTTTTGGCAAGCTTTTGCCTCAAGTCTGTGGTCCTTGATGCGGTAGCAAAGTGAAATGTGCGACTTCACAAAGTTGTCCGAGCTGTTAGCTTTTAGTTGCGATTTTGGACTCCAATTTTTGTGCACTTTTTTATTTTTGTGCTTTATTCCCTTTTAGAATTTGCCTTTTTGGCAATGTTCCTTTTGTACCAACACATGCACTTTTCCTTTGCTTCCCCTTTGGATCAAAGACCACTCTTTGAACCTCCTTCATGTTTGTTATGAAGATCACCAATAACAGGTATGAACTTCAAAAACTTGACCTTCCAATTCAACTCTGAGTCTCTGAACTCCACCAATTTGTGATTTGAACTCCTTTTGATAGGGAAAAAAATCCTAATACAATTGAACCTTCAATTTAATCCAGATCTTCAGTCCCACTTGCTTGTTCTTCAAGGTCTCCAACCCAACAATGGTGAAAACTTCAATTCTACTCCAAACAAGATGAAATCTTAGATCTTAAACTCATCAACCCTACAGAATTCAGATCTTATGTTCAAAATACAATTCAAACACGAATCCAACTAGGTTGTTAATTTTCGGAAACAATTTTTTTTTTTAATTTTCTAATTAACAAGCTAAGGAGTATGGATTAAGAATTGTAGAAACAACTCTTTAGCCTCAACTCTGATACCAAATGATAGGATCCTAAGTAGGAAACTCTAAAGAAAATGACAAGGGAAAGAAAAAATCAAAACAGAGAAGCAAGACAATCAATAATGAGTTTATGGGAAACATTGGATTGGTTACCGATACCTCCCAATTGAATTCAATCATATGACCGATACTATAAATGATTACACAAACGGAGAAAGCTCCATTTGAATCCATAAATGAGTAATCTCAAGTGAAAATCAAGCGAATAAGTTATAGATCAATTAAGGAATTAACACTACACTAGCTAGCTAGACAAGAAATAAAAGGTAAAGCTAAAAGAGTAATCTTTCATCAATTCAAGCTACGCTATTCTAGACTAGAAAGCCCCTTTTATAGCTTAGGCTTGATTACATTTTAGGCCCAATAGTGACGCTGCAAGACAATGCAAAATAAACCCAAAATGTCACACTTCTTCAAAGTTTGCGCCCCTAGTTGCGACCGCAACAAGGAGTTTGCTGCTGCATCCTTGACAGAACTGAGGAGTGATCTGTTTAGAGTTGCGACGCTAGATGCGATTGCATGGCCTGGTTGCAGCATCACATGAGTTGTTGCAGCGTCGCATAACACTTGGTCGTCCTCTTCTTCCTCCCCATTGATCACCCACATGTTTGGAACTTCCTTTGTTGTTCCTGGGTGGTCTCTAAGGCCTCCTTCCAGAACATAGCTTGTAGGATGTGTAGCTCCTTGTCTTGGCTCGGCTCATAGTGAGTGGCCTTGTGGAATTGTGTGTTTCAATATCGTATCAATCACTACCATCAATTGTTACAACTAGCCATCATTTACAATTATCACCATCCACCACCATTACCACAAAAAAATCACCACCATGTTTTATATCACCAACAACATTATTCACCACCACCATAAACTATCACTATCATCCACCATATCTATCTATCACACCAACTACTACCATCAACATCTATTGCCAACTAATCACCATTAAGTACTATCTACACCAACCCCGTCGACATCCACAACCATCTCTTCTAGCCATCGCCACCATGTAATTTTTTTAAAAATATTTTGTTGATTTATTGAATTAGATTAACTTAGTATTTTATGAAATTTATATTTGATTAACTTTTAAAATAAACTAATAAAGACAACTTTTTTACATTCAAGGTGTTTAAAAAACAATACACACACACACATACACACATATATGATTGTATTAGATTAACTTAGTATTGTATTGAAAATTATATTTATTAATTTCTAAATAAACACAAATTTTATACTTTTTAGGTGTTAAAAAAGAAGCAGTCTTAATTAATTAGTATTCAAATCTTAATATGTAGATATGTATTCAAATTCGTACATCTGATTCTTGATATACATCTTAACATTCAAATATATATTTAGATTTAGCCGTCTTAATCTTAATGAAAACAAATGAGACATTAGACATGGCAAAATAAGGGTGTCTCTATCTTTAGCTTGCTTGGACAAATCGTTGGTCTTGTCTAATTTAAATGTTTGTCTTGTCTAATTTAAGTGTTTTCCAATGCCTTGATCTTGTAATGTCTCCTGAACTCCTTTTAGAAAGAATTATTTGAATTTCAATTTTTTCAGAACTCAGCCCGGAGGAGTCTGAGGATGTTCTTTTCAAGGAGGTAATGAATCCATCCAACAGTTACATTTACCTTTCTACTTCCTGCTATAACACATCTCGTGAATGTGATCCTTTGCCCTTTTTAATGAGTACTTTATTTTTTTTTCCAGAAATTTGCTTACTTCTCCCCAAACTGTGATAAATTTAGAAACAGTTTAATTATATTCTTAACTAAAATTATCAATTTCAAAGATAAACAACACGAATACAATTTCTCTCTTATATAAGAGTCTGTATCTTATCATCCCTATCATAACAGTCTTCCAAATATCCACAGCTTAAATGTGTTCTTATCAGGACAGCCTGTATAATGACCTCTTTTAATTAGCGCAAACTTGTCTACTCTTTTTTCTACGTCAATTTTACCTTCAAAATTTCACCAGGCATGGCTGACTTACTTTTGGAGGAGAGCAAAAGCCCATGGTATACAGGAGGAAAAAGCCAATAAAAGGCTTCAATTTTGGAGTAGTCGCAGTGGGCACTCACCAACTTCTCATGATGCTGTTGATGGTACATTCCATACCTTTTCAGTCTATTACCCTGTTTTCTTTTTTTAATAAACCATGTTTAGAAGTAAATTGGTTAAACCAGCATGTGTTCTGTACTATACACAAGTTGGTAAATAAGCAATTTGGTGTATAATAATGTTGGAGCTGTTAGAACAAAAATACCCAAGAAACTGATTTGAAAAAATAAAAATGGAGTGAACTTATGAAATTCCTTGTATATATTAATCTGTAGAAAGTTTGAATTTATACAAAGAATAAAACATAAACATTAAAACTAAAATAAGAACATGTGCCACTAACTACCATAAAGGGGGGCCACTAACAGCCATAATGAGGCCACTAACTTCAAAAAGTTGAGCAACTAAAGTTGACTAAGTCTAGCTAGAAAATAGGAAGCACTAAATTGAGATAAGTAAAAAACAGTAAAAATAATAATAAGCTGAAAAAATGCCAATTGTCTAACACTCCTCCTTGGCATTTTTGTGGCAAACACCAATTCTTTGCCTCAGATCTTCAAAACTTTCCTTTGGCAATGACTTGGTGAAAATATCAGCTAGCTGGTTCTCAGATGAACAATGAACAATCAACACTTCATTAGATTGTTGGACTTCTCTAATAAAATGAAACCTGATCTTGATATGTTTAGTTCGACCATGAAACACTGGATTTTTTGAGATTGAAACCGCTGAACTGTTGTCACACATGATCTTGGTAGCTTCTGTTTGTTCATGGCCTAAGTCCTTCATCATCTTCCTTAGCCAGATAACTTGATTCACAACAGATGCAACAGCTATGTACTCAGCTTCTGCTGTTGATTGAGTTGTAGTTTCTTGTTTTCTAGAGCTCCAACTAAAACAACTTGTCCCCAAACAGAAAAGATATCCAGATGTGCTTCTGGAATCATCAACTCCACCACCCCAATCACTATCAGAGTACCCGATCAGGTTCATAGTTACTTTGGCAGATGTTGGGTAAAAAATTTCAAACTTGCTAGTTCCTTTAATATACCTTAACACTCTTTTAACAGCTGTCAGGTGTGTGTCTCTAGGCGAATGCATGAACCTAGAGAGCAAACTAACAACAGATAGAATGTCAGGCCTGCTTGCGGTTAGATATAGAAGACTGCCAATTAAGCTTCTATACATACTATCATCCACTTTTTCGGAATCCTCATCCTTGCCAAGCTTCACACCAGTAGAAATTGGAGTACTCACAGGTTTGCAGTCTTGCATTTTAGAATATCCGAAATGTATTTCTGCTAGCATATGAAAATTCCATCACTGGACTGCAACACTTCCATGCCGAGAAAGTACTTCATGACTCCAAGATCAGTCATTTCAAAGATTTTCTCCATTTCATCCTTGAATCTTTGGATTAGTTCAATTTTGCTTCCTATCACAAGCATGTCATCCACATAAATTGAGACAATTAAGGACTCACCTGCATCATTGACTTTCACATACAAAGTAGCTTCACTTTGACTTCTACTAAAGCCAAGTTGGATGAGATGATTGTCCATCCTCTCATACCATGCCCTTGGAGCTTGTTTTAGGCCATACAAGGCCTTTGTTAATAGATAAACTTGATCCTCTTTTCCAGGAGTTGAGAAACCATCGGGTTGCTCTACATAGATCTCTTCAGCAAGCAAACCATTCAAGAAAGCCGATTTGACATCAACTTGATGAATCTGCCAGTATCTATGAGATGCAAATGCAAGAATAAGCTTGATTGTGTCATACCTTGCTACAAGAGCAAATGTTTCCTAGTAATCCACACCATATTGTTGTGTGTATCCCTTCACCACCAATCTAGCCTTATGTTTGCAAATTGTTCCATTAGGATTGATTTTTGTCTTGAAAATCCATTTTACACCAATTACCTTGCGATTTCTAGGTCTGTCAAGAAGCTGCCAGGTTCCATTTCTTTTCGATCATGTCTAGTTCTTCTTGCATAGCTCTCCTCCATGCCTGAGAGTCTTGTGCTTCAGCATAGCTTGTTGGTTCAGAGCTGACCAAGTCACACCGCTGATAGACATCTTTTAAGGATCAAGTTCCCCTCACTGGTACATCATCCACTAGTTCATCTTCTGAAAATTGAGGCTGCTCTATTGAAAATGAATCAGAATAAGAGGTCTTCTGATTTTTCCAATCCCAACCAGCTGCTTCATCAAACTTCACTTCTCGGCTGAGAATTAGTTTGTCTGATTTCAAACAGAAAATCCTGTAACCTTTGGATGAACTATAGCCCATTAATATGCCTTTACGAGCCTTGTTATCCAGCTTACTCCTTTTTGTTTCTGGAACTCGATAATAACATATACACCCAAAGATTCTGAGATGGTGTATTGATGGTTTGTTCCCACACCAAGCTTCATATGTAGTCATGTCCTGCAAGGCCTTAGTAGGCAATTTGTTCAGCAAATATACAGAGGTATTGACTGCCTCAGCCCAAAACTGATTTGGGATCTTTCTTTCGAGCAAAAGGCATCTGGCCATCTCTATTACTGTCCTATTCTTCCTTTCAGACACGCCATTTTGTTGTGAAGTGTCGTAATGTCAATTGGCGTTCAATACCTGTGCTATTACAAAACTCCACAAATTGAGAAGAAGTGTATTCTCCTCCATTGTCAGACCTTAAATCCTTAATACTAAGATTACATTGATTTTCTACTAAAGCTTTAAATTGTTTAAAAACATGAAAGACTTCACTCTTCAGTCTTATGAAATAAACCCAACACATTCTGGTGTAGTCATCAATAAAGAGGAGAAAGTATCTGTTACCACTCAGCAAATCTGTTTTCATTGGGCCGCAAACATCCGTATGAATGAGCTGAAGTTTCTGGTTAGCTCTTCGTACTTGATTTGCTTGAAATGGCGATTTTGTTTGCTTTCCCTGTTGGCAAGTTTCACAAACTTGAGCATTAGAAAGAAATTCAAGCATATTTTCCACTAGCTCCTTTTTTTTCATCTCAGTGATGCTTCTCAGATTGAAGTGACCAAACCTTTTGTGGCATAGGTTTGTACATGTTTGTGAAGTAATAGTGTAAGCATGCTCAGTTATTTTCTCCCAATCAACTGAAAACATTCTGTTGCTCATCTTGACATAAAACAACTCTACTCCAGAAGGGTTAGACACAACACATTCCCGATTCTTAAAATGCAGAGAATAATTATTTTCAAGCATTTGTCCAACACTCAACAAATTTTGACTCATATCAGGTGTGTACAAAACATCAGAAATAGTTTTGATACCTGATATTGTTGAGATAGACATTGTACCTTTGCCTTTGAAATCTATTGCCTCACCGTTTTCCACTTTTACTTTAGATTTGTAAGTATCATCTAGGAATTTGAACAGTTCAACATTATTGCACAAGTGATATGTGCAACCACTGTCAAGAAGCCACTAATCAGAGGATTCACTAATTGAAAAGTATGAAACTGCAAATAGTTGCTCTTCATGTGCATCGGCAGCTTCTGCTACTTGTGCTTGCAAAGCACCAGAGGCCTTTGCTCTTGATTTGCTGACCTTGGATACGTGTCCCGTCTGCTTACAGTTGTCGCATATGGCATCGACTCTCCACCAACAATACTTCTCCAGATGTGTATTTCTTTTACAATGTTTGCAAGGAGGGAACTTCTGCTTCACATCTCCACTATTGTTTCCTCCATCATGCTTGCCCTTATTCTTTTGGTGAAATTGTTGCTTTCCTTTTTGCTTTTGTACAGAGAAAGCTCCTTCAATGAACTTTTCCCGTCTCATAGTCCTCCTTTGCTCTTGTGCTTGAAGAGCACTCATTAGTTCACCTAATGAAAGTTTGCTCAGGTCCTTGGATTCTTCAAGAGAGGAAATCTTAGATTCAAATCTCTCAGGAAGAGTCACAAGAACTTTCTTCACAATTCGTTTATCTGTAAATTCTTCACCAAGAAGTCTAATGTTATTAACAATTAAGGATATTCGATCAGCATACTTACTGATAGTTTCATCCTCCTGCATATTCAAGGACTCAAACTCTCTTTTCAGGTTCAACACTTGCATTTGATGTGTTCTATCGCTGCCTTGATATTCTTCTTTCAACCTATCCCAAGCCTCTTTTGCAGTTTTGCAAGCCATGATTCTGTAAAACATAGTATCTGCCACAGCATTTTGCATAAGCGACTTGACTTTAGATTTCTTTGCCTTCTCTTCGTTGTTGGATTTGATCTGAGCCAAGGTAGGATTTGCTGGTAGAGCAGCAAGTGGTTTATCTTCCGTCACAGTTTCCCAAAGTTCATAGGCTTCCAAAAAAGCTTGCATCTTCACAGACCAGATTTGGTAATTTTCACTAGTGAAAGTGAATGGTGGATTTAAAGATAGGTTGTTGGATGCCATTTGTGTGTAGGTTAAAACTCTTTTTTTATCCTGTAAGATCAACTAAAGGCTTTGATGCCACTGTTAGAACAAATATACTCAAGAAACTGATTTGAAAAAATAAAAATAGAGTGAACTTATGAAATTCCTTGTATATATTAATCTGCAGAAAGTTTGAATTTATACAAAGAAAAAAACATAAACATTAAAACTAAAATAAGAACATGTGCCACTAACTACTATAAAAGGGGGCCACTAACAACCATAATGGGGCCACTAACTTCAGAAAGTTGAGCAACTAAAGTTGACTAAGTCTAGCTTGAAAATAGGAAGCACTAAATTGAAATAAGTAAAAAATAGTAAAAATAATAATAAGCTGAAAACATGTCAATTGTCTAACAGTAGCAAGGTCAAGACAAAATAAGATTTGACTTATAAGTTGGTGCCTATATCCCTCACAAAAATAAGTTTGTCTATGTGATGCATGCGTAGGCACATCACGTGTAATATAACTTGCAACACAAGTAGTGGTAAATACACTATTGGATGAGATATCAAATGTTATCTTTGTAATATAATATTTTGTATAAACTTCGTGATATTTATCATTATCAACATAAAATAAGCTATTTAATGCACAATAATATCTTGAATGTAATGCGCGCGCACACACACATACTATTCAAGATAGTTTTTGGATTGTCTTACTATATACTTTTCTTTAGTACAATTGTCTTACCATGGTGATATTATTAGTTACTATCTCTTGTGCTTCTAGAATCTTATACATAAAGACTGAATTCATTTTCTGACATTTCTTGCTGTTGATATTTTAGTTGAGCAAGGTCTGATGGAGCTAAGGAAATTGGCCATTGAACAAAAACTATGGGAATCATCTCGGAGGTGAATTGGTCGTTGGTGGAGATTCTTCCGTTACTGAAGAGAAGTCTTCCCTACAGTCTAATATTACTGCTTGCGATCTATTTTACTCACTGCATTCAAGCTCTTTTTCCGCTCACTGTAGTATCCTTCCCAAGACTCATGTAGTACATATGGTTCCAATCTTTTTCTGTTTAGGTCCAACAGGAAGGGAGGGTGTCCAGTTAAGGTTACACGGATTTTTATTTAGTACAAACACGAGCACCTTAAGCATGAGTCATAGGTAAATTCTGAAGCAAACTGTATTTAGAAGGGTGGATTTGGATATGCTTGTAGTTCTGGGATTGATATGCTTAGCTCCAAGTTTCGGTTATTTAGGAACTGTCATATTACTACGGGCCCGTTTGGATGGGCTTAATAAAAGCAGCTTTAAAAAAGTACTTTTAAAAGTGCTGAAACTTATTTTTAAAATAAGCAGTTATGCGTTTGGATAAAAGTGCTGTAGTTGTTATGTCAAACGTGAAAAGGAAAAATGGAAGAAAGAAATGTTAGGGTTATATGAGTAATTTGGAGATTGTATAAAAATATTAAGCACAAAAAGATAAAAATGTGGTCAACTTAAAACAGCTTATAAGCTAAAAAAAAAAAACACCCCTACCCCAGCTTTTAACTTTTGGCTTAAAATAAATTTTTTAAACTTAAAATAAGCTGTTTTGAGTATTGCCAAACAACTAAATAAGTCAAAAACCAGCTTTTAAGTCAGTTTGACCAGCTTTTAAGCTGAGCCAAACAGGCTCTACACCGATGTATAAAATCTGAAGGGGAGGAGTAAGAAAAGAAATGAAAGAGTTACAAAGACATGAGACATATAAATTTTAATCTATTAAAATAAGAGAAATTACATTACCCTGAGGGGTAGCTCGACTGGTAAAGGCATGAGGACAGTCCTTCTTGTTGTCAGTTCGAGCCCCAGCAAGCCACTGGAGGCATTACAAACCGGACGCGTCTCCAGGGCCCTGTGAAACTAACCGTGGTGAACCCGCCTTGAAACAACGGGACCCGGTGGGTACAGCTAGTTGAGTTCGCAAAGCGATACCCGAAAATCACGCCAAAAAAGAAGAAGAGAAAATACATCAAAAAAAATTCCTAAACTTGGTCGAAAAACTTACTTTAACACTTAAACTATACGGGCATTTAAATACCCTTCTTAACATCTTTGAAGTGAATTAAATACAACCCTAGGGGATGACATGACAAAGAGAGTAAGTTCACTCTCCTAATAGTCTGTGAAGGAGTTAAAAGAAAAACTAAAATTGTAAAGTCATACAGATGACATATTTTATTGGTCAATATATAATAAATATTTTAAATATTATTTCTTAATGTATTAACTTGTATTAAAATATATGAATATTTTTATTGGCACATAAAAACTTTAACTTTTTTTCTCTTTATTTTGTTGTCTCTCCCAATATAGATTCTTCTCCATTGGAGCATCATTCTTTCCTCCATCTTCACCTTTAACTTTATTTACTATTTCAATTTCACAATCTCTTTAGTAATCCACAAAATCCAACTCCACCATCTTATTATTGACGTCAATTTCACACATCAATTTTCACCAGAGCTAAAAAACTTGCTAGTTTGTCGGACTTTATGGAGACAAAATCAATGATATTTTTGCTTTTTAAATTTTTCGAAGACGAAGGTGACAAATAAGATGTGAAAGGAAGAGAAACGGGAAGTAGCGTCTGATTGTTGTTGTTTTGTTGCTCGATCTAAGAGTTTCAAAGCTCACTTTAATGGTGTTTTAAGGAAAAAAGTGATGGTGAAGTGGTGATTCAATTGTTTCTCGGGGTTCGGAGAATCTAGTAATGGAGTTTCGGCGGTGATTTGAGAGTTACGATGAAAGGAGTTTGGATGGTGGAGGTAGTTGAAAAATATGGAGAGAGAAAAAAATGAACATAGAAGAGCTAGAAATGGTGAAGAAGAAGGAAGAAGAAAGAAGTGAGGAGGTGGGTGGGGACTGGGTATGGGGGAAAATAAAAATGGGTCAACATTTTTAATTTTAATTCTAGAAAATGCACTTTAAATTAATTAATTAATGTAAATTAATTATAAGAAGTGTTAAAGAAAAATGGTGAATAAATGACGTTTTTAATTCATTTAAAAAATGTTAAAGGAGATATTTAAACGCTCGTAAAATTGAAGTGCTAGAGTAAATTTTTCGATCAAATTCAGGAGGAGTTTTATGGATTTTATCATTAAAATAATCCCTCAAACAACTACAACATGGTGCGTCTCAACCACCATAAAATTATTTAGATAAACTCAGCATAAAGCTACTTATTATATTTCTCATATTGAGAATAAATTTATAATCGAGGAATCCAATATTTATAAGCTACAACAAATGGGCCTTACCCAACAAGAAAGTTCCCCTAGAGCCCTAAGGTATTCAAGCCAATGTCTTTGTGCCATGTGTGAAGGTCATTGGTAGTGTCAAACTAATATTCTTGTTGTGCTCAGGCTTGTACATGCTCGTCCACGCACCTGACATCCTTGAAAATCTTGTTTTCTTTCTTTTTTTCTCTATGTTTTCAAAAGATAGTACGATCTTAGGTGGTACTCCTCTCAAGATGCCTCCAGATTAAAGTAACTCGAGATCTTACTTTCATGTCAAGTTTCCTCAACCATACTTGCTTATCATCTAGCCACGTGACTTGACCAACTTAGAACCATAAAGATAATCCCTTCACTCTTTGTGATTAAAGCTATTTGCCCATGGGAAGATGAATTTTTTTTATTCCTTTCTTTCAGGAAGAGGAAAAAGCTTTTAAACCTTTTAATGAAAATGTTGCCGAGACACAGTTTATCCTACAACATTTAATGTTCTGTAAGTGTCCATTATGCAAGCAGTCGAGAAAATTGTGACACATCTAAATTGTCGCCTCTTGTATATATTTTTGACGATTTCTTTATTCTTTAAGAATCACATTCAATTGATCTTCAAGTATTTAGAAAGTCCTTCTTCATATTTTCTATCTTCTTCTGTAATATCCTTGTTTAAAATACATCTCTGGAATTCCCTCTTTTTGAAGATGCGAAAACTGACTTTCTGTACTCTTTTTGGGAAGGTGACTCCTAGATTTCGGAGAGCAGCCTCCTACCTCTTGGTTAGGGTTATCCTTTTCCCTAGATCATCACTTCATCATATTTTCTCCCCTTGTTCGGGAATAAATCTCTTGTTTCTCTCTTGTACGTCTTGATGAGAAAGGTCAATTGCGGATCAATAAATTTATTTATTTATTTTTTGCATAGAAGATTTCCTTCAAGGTATTAACCTTCCAAAGAATTGGAACTATAAATGTACTTTCCTCCATTTGTACTTCTCATCCCGTTGAACTTGTTTATTCTTTTTCTTATCATGTTTAATGATTGATATTGACATCAAAAACTTGGGCCCAAATGATTCTTAACTTTATTATTACTCAAGATATTGATTTTCGACGAATGATGGTGCCAAAATTATTCTTCCTTTTCTTCAAGATATTCATCCATCAAATCATCCTTATCATCACTTTTAGGCTTAGAAGATGAAGGTTCAACTATTGGAATATTTTTTTCCATAACTTTATATGCATTATATAAATCTCTAACTTTCGTATAAATGCTACTTTTACATTGTTCAACACTAGGAGTTTCATCATCTTTAATTTCTAAATTTACATAAATCTTTTCAACCATTCTTTCAACACCTCTTAATTTATAATTTGGGTTGAAAGTAGTAGCAGTCAAATAGATTTGAGGAATAGGAAAAAATATTTTTTGAATTTTTCAAACATAAAAGCAAGTGAATCTTTAAATTTTTCTTTTCCTTTATATTTTACAAATTCAATTGAAATAACACAAATATTTACTAAAACTAAAGAAATAGTAGGATAATATTGATTAGAACATGCATTTGTTGCTCTATAAAAAATATGTAAAAAATCAATCAGTTCTTTTGTATTTTGCCAATCTTCAAAGCCAATTATTAAACTTGGATCCGCATTATGAGCATTAAAAACTAATTGTAGCGGTTCTTGATAAACATAAGCAACTTGAAGCATTTCAAATAAAGAATTCCATCTAGTGCATATTTCTTTTGGAATTTCCTATATGCAAGTCCACATTCATTACAACGATTTTTAAATTCTGTAATTCTAGATTTTACTTTAGCTTTAAAAATCCAATTACAAGCAAGTCTAATTTTTTTCACAAGAAACTCCAAATTGAGAAATACCATCTTTTACTATTAAATTATATACATGTGCGGCACACTTAATATGAAAACAATCACTATCAATTGGACAAAGTTTAATTTTTAAATAATCAACGGCACTTAAATTATTAGAAGCATTATCTAAAGTGACACTCATTATTTTATCACATATTCCATAATATTGTAAAATAGAGCCTACTTTTGATGCTATATAAGAATCGATTTTAGTTTCTTCAACATATTTATACGCTAATACTCGTTTTTGCATGTTCCATTCATGGTCAATCCAATGGACAGTAAGTGTAAAATAATCGTTACTATTAGGACTACGTCCCATATCAGAAGTACTAGATAATCTACCATCATAATAAGCAAATAAACAACAAAGAAAATGAGAATATTCTATTTGATATTTAAAAAGATCACTTTTAATTGTATTTCTTTGAATACCTTCATAATCTGGGTTATATAATTCTCGAATATAATGAACAAAACCAGGATGTGAAGGAAATGAAAAAGGTAAACCACAAAGAGCAACCATTTTAGTTAATTCTCTATGATCTTTTTCTTTACTATACGTGTGGTGTGTGCTTCGACTAGCCGGGTTAGACATATTTAATACACCTTGAACCATATTAGAACCTCCAACACCCATAGAACTTTCGGGTATGGGTGTTCCATTTCTATTAGCTCTTTCTATATCATCTATGCGAGCAAATTCTTTTTTACACTTTCGTAAATGTGTTCTTAGTCGTCCCGTTCCCCCTTGTGTACCCGTAGTTACATGTTTCATTACCAATTTACATCTAGTGCACGTAACAGTAATTTTTGCCTTATTTTATATCAAAAATTTTCATACTAACGATCTTTTAACACGTACGACGGCGACATTTGAAAAAGTAGGTAAAGGGGAGACTTCGGTAACCGGACCAGTCGGGGTAGGGGTCTCTTCATCTTTCTCATTTATTTCTACTTCTTCTTCTAGTTCTTCCTCAAAATTAGTATAATGTCT